GGGGTGCCAGAGGGGATCCTAGTGATGGGGCGGGCGGCGCAGGCGCAGAGAGGTTGGAAGCAGTGCAGGGTGAGCTACTGGGAGAGAAGGGAGCAGTGGGGTGGAGGTCAGTTGCGGGGTGAAGGCTGGGAGCTGAAAGGCTAGTGGGGGTGAGTCACCCCAGTGGTAATGGAGTCACAGGTGGCGTAGCGCACGCGCTCTTGGCGTGGGAGGAACATTTAACAGCTGCAGGCTCCAGGAGCTGGGCAGGAGCCCCTCCCGAGGACAGATGCGCACGTGTTCATAACGCGGCCAGGACGCCCTCCAGGCCTCTGAAGGCCACTCCTGCCTTCCCAAAGGGCCACAGCGGCCCAGATGCTCGGTGTCCCCTGGCACAGGTGCGTCCTCAATCCATTTCTGCATCGCAGGCCGCAAAAAGGTGTTGTTGAAGGACAGCCCTCTGCGGCCAGCTCCCCAGCCCCTGCGGGCTCACTTCCCCTCCCACCCGTTAGAGGGAGCCAGAGCCTGCGTGAGTTTCCATCACTTTATTTTGCAAAAATAGAAAACTCAGCAATATGCGATACAGCCGGGTGGAAGGGAGATGTAAACAGAGGGGGAAGGGGCAGCACCCTGACCCCCCCGGAGAAAAGGGGGGAGCCAGCGGGAATCTTATTTGGCAGCTAAATACAAACAGGACTGGAGGAAAGAGGATGGGGTCACAGGGGCCCTGGGCTCCCCCTCCCAAGACCCCTGGAGGAAGGGGTCGATTCCAGGGTGTAAACAAAAGCTAATAAATAAATAGAGGCTTCCTCTGGGTCAGGGTGGGACCAGCTACGCAGCACCCCTCCCTGGGCCAAGCTGCCCTGGGGTCAGGGGGGAAGGCACTAGGGGGAGAGGGAGCCCCTGGCCCCTCTGTAGTGTTGGAGGGTCCCTGCCCCGATGGCTGAGATGGGGGGCAGAGGGGGCCCAAGGCACATGGCAGGGCTGGGGGAGGGGCTTGTAACGGAGGGCACAGGGCATGCTCTGGGCTAGAGCAAAGAGGTGCTGAATGGGCCCACATCTGCCCCTTTCTCTTCTGGCCCCACAGAAACTCAGGGCCAGCCCGTCCCCACCAGGGACAGTGCACATGAGGCACCAACGGTGCGGGATGCAGCATGAGGCACCAACTGGCAGGGGCACGAGGGTGGGCTCAGCCCGGCCCCTGCACCCCCATTTGGTCTCTAGTGTTCCTGTCCGCGCCCAGAGGCCTAAGCACCTGGCAGGGGGGCAGGCTGTGAACTGGCAGGGGCTTCCTCCTGCCTGAGGGAGCTGAAGACCCTGGTGTCTGGGGGGCAGCGCGGCGATTCCAGAGTCCAGACTCACGCTCACCCCTCTGCCCTCGCTCCTTGTGAGAATAGAACAGGCACCCCCAGATTGGAGGGCGAGCCAGTCAGAGCAGGTAGGGGGGTGAGCAGCGCCCCCCACCCCCGAAACTTTGGCAAAAACAAGGAGCTGGTTTGAAGGGGTAGGGAGAAGGCAGAGCAGGTCCTCTCCCGGCCACTGGTGGTTTTTGGGAGATGGTCAGTCTGCTACCTGGAGCCCCAACCCCGACAGCGGGGAGAGTCAGGGGTCCTGGTCAGGCTGGGGGCTTTGGCTCCCTTTTCCCTTGTCCCCAGGTGCCTCATCCTCACTGGAGGACTTGGGGTGGGGGCCAGGCTGCGAGGAATCATCCTCGAACATCTCGGGGTTCTCCAGCATCTCCTGGATCAGGGGAGGCATCGGGCCAGGAATCTCCATCTTCAGAGTAATGGCCCTTTCCGCTCCTGCAAGGGAGGGAGGAGGAGAGACTCAGGGGTGGTGGAGGCCCATCCTGGTCCAGGCCACTTCCCTCACCTTTCTCAACTGCCTAGAGAGTCTTGCCACCTCTCTCCGTCCTCAGCAACTTCTTGGCTCCACTCGCTCGAGGGTTCTCACCCAACTGCCTGGACCCTTTACTTGGTCTTCTCTGCTAGGTCTGCTGCCCTTAGCCCATTCCTGCAGGCTGTCTACTCTCAGGGCACACTACTCAACACCCATCCAGTCCATGGGCCAGGTTGGCTAGTAGTTCCTAGGCCCTTCTTAAGAACATTTACAATCACAGCTGATATGAATCTAATACTGTATTCCAGACAGCCGTCTTTGCCAGTGCCGTCCAGTCCCATCAAGCTTTCGGTGAGGATGGACCATCTGCCCTGGCTGATAGAGTAGTCACTAGCCACCTGTGGCGACTCAGCTCGGCAACTGGATGGTGCAGTAGAGAGAGTGACTTTTTTAAGTGGTGCAATGCCAAGCTGCATGCTCCTGCAGCCCAAGGAAGAAGCAGGTACAGGCAGAGCCCACTCTGCAAACAAGAAAACCTGAGTCCCCAAAGTCAAGGACTTCCCCTTAAACCTCCCCACTTGTATGTGGCAAAGCTAGGGTTCCAGTGTAGACCTCCCGGTCCTTGTCTCTTCCTGTTCACCTGTCCGGGCCTGGGGGACCAGCAGCTTCAAGCAGAGAGAGGGCACCCGCCGACTCCTGACTAACCCTTGGTGCTGATGCCTCGGAGGTCTGTGATCTTCATGAGCATCCTGGGGAACATGTAAGGCTGGCTGGGCCGCCGGCGCCGGGTGTACAGCCTCAGGGCTTCTAGCAACGGCTCCTGCAGCTTGTCCACCTTTTCAGGTTCCTCTAGGTCCATGCGGTCTGGGGTGGGGAGCACAGTGGAGTGAGAGGGACAGAAAACTGACCGGGAAGGCAGTGACCGGTGGCTGATCTGCCACTGGCTCTGCCCCAGGGGCCTCCAGGCCTCAACATCTGCCCCATCGGCCAGCTGTCCTCAAGTCCCTGCACGCTCCTCGGCCACCCCTGGCTCCGCCCCTCCTTCCCCGCGGCAGCGCACAGGTGGAGCCATCCCAGGAGGGGCGCGCGCCAGGGGGCGCCCTCGCACCTCCGCAGATGAGGCAGATGGCGCTGAGCAGCCCGGTCTCCGTGTCGTCCATCTCCAGAGGGAGGAGCTGCCCGGCAAAGGCGAAGACCAGGTCCGTGAGGGGTCCAAAGCCGGCGTTGTGCATCTGCGTCCGGTTCAGGGTCAGCCCGTCGGAGAAGGTCATGGTGTCCTGCTCGGGGGTGTACCGCGTGCAGATCCGCAGCATCTGGCAGGGTGGAGGGGAGCAGGGGGGCAGAGTCAGGGCTGGCTCTGGGAAAGAACCCCGGACCCCGACCAAGAGGGCGTCCAAGGCAGGTTAAGTGCCTGGTGGGGCAGGTGTTGGAGGGAAGTATGGAGATTCGAGGCGTGTCTAAAGCAGGCCTGGGAGGCAGGTCCTGAGACGGCAGGAGGTGGCAAGGGGTCTGCTATGGTTAGGTGCCATGAGATGGTTCTGACCCTCAGGGACCCTCTCTATGCACAACAGAATGATACCATGCGTGGTCCTGCGCCACCGGCTCAAGAATTGTTCTTACAGAGAGCCTAAGGCATAGCAAGGGGTCTACAAGTCCACAGTCAGGTCTTGGGGCCAGGGTAAGGCAAAATGAGCTTGGCACTCTGGTGGAAGGGGTCTGGGGAGCCCATGATCTTTGGGGGGCTCAGATGGGTGCTTGGGATCAAGCCTCAAATCAGAGCCCGGCTCTGGCAGACATAGACATCTTGGACTTGGCCAAGCCTGGGCTGCAGGGTGCAGTAAGGGTTTCAGAAAGCTGAGAGAGAGAGAGAGAGAGAGAGAAGAGGTTGGAGTGAGCTAAGAGGAGCCGCTCGGCTGGGTGGCAGCGGCAGGTGTGGGGCCTGACCTACCAGGATGTCCAGGCAGGCAGCCTTGAGCAGAGTGATCTGGTCAGCAATGCTGAGCCCTGTAAAGCCAGGCACCCGCTTGGCAAACTCCACGATCTTGATGATGCACTTGGTGGCCAGCTCACTGAACTTGTCCCACAGCCCCAGATCCAGCTGCACCCGGTGGTCGGCACTGGAGTTCTGGGGGTGGGGATGAGAAGACAAGCTGAGGCTCACCCCTGGGACTGCCTTCTTTCTGCCAGCCCCCTAAACTCTCCCCTCTGTGTGCTCCCAGGGGCCCCCCTCCGGATGTCCTCCTGGTCTCAGCACCGGACCCCACCCGCCACCGCCGCCACCCCACTGTTCGCCAAGTGCCTGTAGGCTCCTCACCGTGGTGTACTTGCCCAGTTGACAGAGGGAGGGGAAGGTCTCCTGATGGGCTTTGCTGACCTTGGTGATAAGCTCTTCTAACTGGGGGGTCAGCTCATAGCTGTCGGGTGACCCTTCTTCCTTGACCTCTTTCTTCTTCTTGTTGCGGTCATTCCGCACAGCTGAGGGGTAGAAGAGGAGGGGGTGAGTCGGGACCCTCAGAGCTTCCCTCTGGGTGTCCCCTCCCACCCAGATTTCATCTGCTCAGTTCATGCTCAGCTCTTAGCAAGAACAGCTATTTATTCCTGGGCCCTGCCCAAGGCCTTGGCTTTCCCATCGCCTGTATCAACTCCCTTGCCCAGGCTGGCTTCTCCCCAGCCCCACCCAGGGCCCGCAGCCCCTGCCCCTCCCCAGGCCACTCAGGCTCCATCCTGCCCTTCCTGTCACCCTGCAGGAGCTGGGGGGGTGGGGTGGGGGTGGGGGGGCAGGATATGCAGGCAGCAGGATATCCACTTATAGCCTTGGCAGCACAATGGCAGGGGGGAGGCACCCCAGATCCACCTCAGGCTCAGTCCTGAGGGGGAAGGGGACTAGCAAGCCCCCCAATTCCCCACAAACCAAGGGGTAGAGGAGATCCTAATTCCCACTCAGGTACTCAGAGGCAGGCTTAATCAGCACAGAGGGAAGAAAGGGAATGGGTGGGGCCTGAAGGGTGAATGGAGCTAATCAAATAGGACTGGCCAGGGAGGAGGAGGCAGGACCTCAGGGCAGGCTGGGCTCAGAGGTCAGGGAAGAGGCGGGGCCAGTGGGGAGAGGGTGGCCACTGCAGGGCAGAATGGGAGGGCTCCTGACCAGGCCAGGGTGAGGGGGCCTACCTTCCTTGGACATGCCCACTTCGAAGCACTTCTGCAGCCGGCAGTACTGGCAGCGATTCCTTGTCACTTTGTTGATGATACAGTTTTTGTCGCGGTGACAAGTGTACACCATGTTCTTCTGGATGCTGCGGCGGAAGAAGCCCTGGAAGGCGGCGAGACCCCCCCGCCATGGGGATGCAGCTTCTGCCCACAGCTGGAGCCCCAGGGCCCGACAGGCCGGGCCGGGCCCTGGGTCCCTGCTGAGGAGGAAGGGGGTGGGCTCTGGGACCACCGGGCATCCCTTTTAAGCCCCAAAAGCTGAAGCCGAAGCAGTTCCTGGCCAGGCTAGTTGGCCAAGTGTGGAGGGGTGGTCCCTGAGACAGGATGCTGGGAGGACCAGGCTCTATCACAGGCCTGGCAGGTAGCTCCCCGGGCCTAGCCCAGTCCACTCATGAACCGCCCGGCACACAGCTTCCCGTGCCCGCCCCATGTGGGCCCACTCCGTCCCCTGGAGCCTGATCCACCCAGCCCAGGAGGTACACACCTTGCAGCCTTCACAAGAGCTGACACCATAGTGGTAGCCCGAGGACTTGTCATTGCACACGAAGCATGGCTTGTAGACCCGAGGCGGCGGAGGGGGCGAGGGGGAGCTGGGTACCATCTCTTCGGAGCTGGTGCTCTGTGTCTCCACCGCTGGGGAGAACCGAGTGATGTGAGGGCAGGGGGAGGGTGGGGAGAAGGACCCCTTAGGTCTCTAAGTCGCCTAACCACTCATCATACACACTCCATTCCATTCCACATCCTCCTCCTGCAGCCCAGCGTGAGAAGACCATCCCACCCGCAGGGCCCCTCACTGAGACCAGCCCCGGGCCTGACCGCTGCTGCACCAGTTCTGAAATTCCAAGCCAAGGCTACCGTGGACACTAACTTCTCGGGGCCTCAGCTTTCCCACCTAGACAACGGGTTACAGGGGTGATGGCCCTGTCACCTGTGATGTCTCTAGGAGCCCCTAGGCCTTTCACTGTCACTCTGGCCACTCTTGGTCAGGTGGTCTATCTCCCACCATCCTCCTCCCTAAGAGACAATAGATCTGGGGGTGGCAGGCAACTGAGCCACCTGTTGCTGGTGCTGGTGACCACCTGCTGGGATACTCTCTAAGAAGGACAGGGCCTCTTCTTCTCCCAAGCAGCACCTAGTAGAGAATCCTCCCGCTTTCCCCTCGAGTTGTTGTTAGCTACCACAGAGTAGGGGAGGCCCCTAGAGTCAAGGAGAAGCCCACGTGCTACAGAGCAGACCTGAGGTTATAGCCAAGAACACCCTGTTAGCTTTGCCAAAACAGGACTTTCTTCTACAGCACTTCTGGGGGTTTGAACTGCCAACCTTTTGACTGTTAGCAGAGTACAAGGAAGGAGTTTGTTCTACCCAAGGATTCCCCAATATATCCCCCATGATAACCCAATCAATTCTGACTCTTGTAGGCCCTAAGAGTAGAAGTGGCTCCCCAGGGTTTCCAAAATTGCAAATCTTTCAGGGAGTTGATAGCCTCATCTTTCTCAGGGGTAGCTGGTGGATTCAAACCGATGCCCTGTAGTTAGCAGCCCAATGCTTAACTCATTATGCCAGTAGGGCACCTCACGTCCTCACTTCAGAAAAACAAACCCACTGCCATCGAGCTGATTCTGACTCTCCGCAACCCTCTGTGAGGTTCATGTAGAGCAGAGGTTCTCAACCTGGGGGTCGAACAACCCTTTCACCGGGGTCGCCTGAGACCATAGGAAAACACATATTTCCAATGGCTTTAGGAACCAAGACACCGCTCCTCTATCGTCTCCAGGTGGGTCCACCCACATGCAAATATCCCCACATACGGGCTCACCACAACACGAGGAACTGTATGAAAGGGTTGCGGCATTAGGAAGGTTGAGACCCACTGATGTAGAGCTTCATCATTCTCGCTCAGATCCACCGGTGGACTTGAACCACCGACCTTGTGGTTAACAGGCCAATGCTTACTCAATAGTGCCACCAAGGAGGGCTCCTTGCTTCTCCTAAGACGGTCCCTCAAAAAACCTCCAATGTCCTTTTCCACAAAACCAGAGAGAGCACAGCAGGTGGGGTACAGATGTCAGGAAGGTGGGCTAGGGGATACAGATGCAAAGGCCTTGATGAGGTTGCAGTTAAGAGGGAGGAAGCCAGTCTGGTGCCACTCTGCAGTTAGTAGTGGGGGCAAGGTGACATCTTCTGACTAGATCTGAGAGGCTGGGGAAGGAAGGGGACATTGAGTATTTGCTCAGATCCTCGGGTATAGAAGCTGTTGGGGGGTGGGCACAGCAAATCAGAGAGGTCACGTGACAGTGGGTAACCAAGGCTAGTGGGGAAGGGGAGCTATCACTGGCCCCTCTCTCATAACCTGTGTCTTCACTCCTAAACTGTGCCAACAGCACCAACCACAGCTCAAAAGGGGTCTCAGCCGGGGGCCCAGACAGCGTGTGGCGAACACCCTGCATGAGTGCAGGTGGCGGCCCAGTAAACCTGTGTGTGGGGTTGGTCTGCAGGGGCGGGGAGCATCCGAAAGTTATTCAACTTGAAAGACCTGTTACCTACCCCTGGCGGATGTTTAATGCAAGAAAGCACTAAGACCCTCCTCCCGGAAGGAGTTGCCCCAAGAGCACCTTATTTTTAACCCGCCAGGTCATAAGTCTGCCCCAATCACAAGCAGAAACCAGAAGGAATGTCTGTCCTGGATGCTGGGGGTTCTAGGTTAGTCCACCCATCCACAGGAGGGAAGCCCCCCCCAACACACAATTAACATAAGAATCCTGCTAGGGGGAGATTCCCCAAAAACAGGGGGGGTAAAAGAGAAGGGCTCTTGGGTCAATTCAAGACTGGGGGCAGGGCACTCCAGGGGGTTGGCATGCCTTTCAGGGCCTTCTCCCCCACCCCCCCTGTCCCCTCAGGTCCTCCCAGGTGTCCACTGGAAGCACGTGTCTGTCCACGGGCCTGTGTGTGGGGTGGCACTGCTCAGTGCCCTGCTGCTGTGCTCCCTGCCCGCAGAACGCTGCTTCATTTCCTCTTAAGCAAGGCTCTGGGTGCGGTCAGAGCGGCATGGGGCAGTGTCAGCCAATTACAGGCTGGGGGCTGCAGAGAGGCAGGCCTGGGGGCAGCCTTTCCTGTTGAAATGGTATTGTCAACCCATTCTCCCCACACGCCTTGTGGCACATCCCCAGCCCCTGAACCCGAAAGTGCTTCCCATAGGTTGGGAGGGCAATCGGGCCTGGAGGGTGCCAGGAGACAAACTGAGTCCACTCAATTCCCTTTGCAGGCCGGGCAGAGAGTCACCACCAGGAAGCAGCCACTCCTGCCCACAACAGGCGGCCCCCCGCCCCCCAGCCCCTGTCGAACAGGCTGGGCCTGGGCAGGGGCCCCTGCTGAGGAGGGGGTGGACTAGGGGTTTTTCTCCTTTTAAAGCCCAAATTGCTGAAATTGAGGAAATTCCTGGCTAGGCTGTGCGGAGCTTCAAACAAACTCTTTATAACCGGCTGTAAACGCTCCCAGCTGCGAGGCACAGGCAGAGAAGCCAGGGGACTAGGAATCTGACACACACCTCTTTAGAGACACACTCTTACATGACAACAGCACACAGGACACACAAGCAGGCCCACTGATGGGCTTCTACACCTCCACCAGGCTCTGGCACAGAGGGGCTCACAGAGAGGCCTCCAGCCACCCAAGGGTGGTGGTGAATGCACACGCCACAGAGCCCACACCCACCAGCGCAGGGCTTCACATTTGCCAGGGTGCAACTCCGCCACAAGCTGAATACGAAGCCCGCCACAGCAGCACCAGGGCACCAGGGCACCAGCTGGCCCTCCCTGGGAGGACCTCATTCCACCCCTGGTTTAGACACACGGGTCTAAACAACTTTCCCCCTGACGGTGCGGTGCGGGGCCAGGTCTGAAGCTGGGTTGGTCTGCCCACCCGGACCCTGTCCTAGAGGACAAATTGTTAGTTCATATTGAAATGCAAAGACAGGCTGCCAGCCTGAACCAGGCCTGAGTCTCCACCCAGCCCCCACCCAAAGCCCTTCCTGAGAAAACTCTCTCCATCTTGCCCTCACCCCCACCTACCCCTGCAGTTCCCATCCTATTGGGCAATGAAAGGAAGGTTAAGAATTCTCAAAGTTTGGGTACAAAGCGGTAATTCCAGGCTTTCTGCACCCTTTAAATGCCACCCTTTTCGTGATTGCCCCACCCGCCACAGAGTACGGTCTCCGGTTTGCCACCTCCCTCTTCAGTCTCTCAGTCATTAAATCTGAGCAGCTCTGTTATAGAACTAGAGACAAAAAAAAAAAAAAAATAGTCGAACTTGTAAACAGCGCTGCCGAGTGCCAAGGAGCGAGGCGCGTTGGCGGGGGCTCCGTGACCCGGCGTGCGCACTCCCCCAGCGCCCGCCGCCGCCCCGCCCGCCGCCGGCTCCTTCCTAGCGAGCGCGCCCCAAGCCCCTTGTGCCCCCTTGCCGTTGACACCCGGGCTGCAAGCTCAATTCCACCCCAGGGTATACTTGCAGGGTGCTCCAGGATCCCCTCCCGGCCCCTCCCCACACCCCACCCCCGCCAGGCACTGCAGCCCAGGCTTCAAAGACGCCTCTCATCTGGACTTCATTTTACTGCCTCGCAGTCCCCAGCTTTTTATTACCGCTCTGGAAAGGGGTTCCAGGGCCCCAGGCCTGGCATCTCCCGTTTCACAGAAGGGGGAAGATGGATATTTGGGGACCCAGTAGTTGAACTACCACTGCCACCTCCAGGCCAACCCACACCACACACACACACACACACACACACACACACGGGGACTTTGTTTTAAACTTTTGGCGTCAAGTTGGGTGTTGGATACCATAGGAAAAGTCACCTCTCTTCACAACAACCGCACACGCACACTTCCAAGACTGTATCCTTTCGGAATTAGGACGGGGGGTCGGGGGCGGCATCGCCCAGCTTTCTCCCTTACACCAGCGCGGGAGGACGCACAGGATGCCCTCTCGCACACATCACTTTCCAAATCCGCCCCGCAGCCACGCAGGGGCACACGCCCTCGTGGCCTCACGCCACAAACGACTCCACACAGGGCCACCAGGGCCTGCCAACGACGTCGGAGGACGCCAGTTCGTGGAGAAACCCCCACACCCACACCCCGGAGGCAAGGTGCTGCATACGCCAGGGATTTGCCTGCTCTGCAAATAATATCGTTTACACCCCTATGTCCCACAAGGACTTTACAAACGCAACCCACGGTCCTGGGTGCTATGCCCCTTACAGGGAGCAGACTGAGGGCACAAACTACCAACAAACCTCAGTCTCTCCCTACAGCCAAGAACTTTGGAACGGCATCAACCGCACAGCCTACCTAAACACCCACCATAAAAACCACATACTCCAAACACCACAGCACACACCCAAAGGAGTCGCCAAGGCCCCCACGTTTAAAGGGCCAGTATCCCTCTCACCAACACACCCGCCTCTCACATTTAAAGGGCCAGTCTCTCTGACTGCACCCCAGTTCCACCCGTTACAAGCGGAAAGAGAGCCCCTGCCACTCCTGCACCCCACCCCTGGCCTCCGGTACCTACAGTGCAGACTGGCGGGTTGTGGCCATGCAAAGGGCTCAAGTCCTGCGAAACAGGAGCTGCCGGTGGCT